AAGACAATCTTGACAAGCTAACAAGTAACTTATAGTAATTTGTCAAATCAGTACTAGTAAGTTAGAGCCCTAGAAATGAGTAAACTATTTGTTGTAGCAGTCGCATATGAGCACTGAGGATTGACAATATTTGCTAGCGATGAGGCAGCCGTGTGAGTTTTTATTGTGCAAAAAGAGAATAGTAATTGGATCTAGTTTAGTTAGTGAATTTTACTTAAGAGATATAAAGTATATTTTACTTCTGAAAATTCTTTCAAATAATAAAATCAAGATTTGCCAAAAAAAAAATAAAAATAAAAATAAAATATATTTGCTTATTTTAAGAGTTACAATGTGGTTTTATTTTGTCTTTTATATTGTTTTGCAGATCATATATATTTTTGGGCATATATAACTATAGTAAAGTAGTGGTGAAAAATTATAACAATCTTTTATAAAATATAGAAATTTTTAAAAATTGATTAAACTTATATAAAAAATTAAATATAAATACTTTAAAATATAATTAAAAATGAAAAATAAAAAAAAATTATTATAAAATTAAATTTAAATTTTTAAAAAATTAAGTAATAATCCACATGTGATCGACAGTATTTTTATTAGAAATTCAGGGCAAATTACGGTAAATCAATTATAAATTTAAAGTAAATTCCTGACAAGTATAAAAAGGCAAGTACTTAACAAGTTATTTTAAAATTGACAATATTTACATAACATGATGCAAAAAGAGGTATTCTTTTAAACAAGCATAAGAAAATGCATTATTAATTTGTATGTTTTTAACTTTACTTTGAGGCAGCAACAAATTTATCACTTTATGAATAGACAATTTATAAATCGCCAATTCTAAGAGCTCTAAAGGAAAAAAAAAAAAAGATTTGTAATAAGATCATTATGAAGGTTCAGAATTTTCTGTTTTATCTAAAGCCCGCAAGACTATAGCCTCCTTCCAATGACATGAAAATCTACTGATCCAATTTTGAATCGTAGCCTCTTTTGGGATTTTGTTATTTTCAATTTCTCTAGCTTGCGCATGATGTATTAGCTCTTCTCTTATTTGTGATACTGTTAATTTTTGGGATGGGTTAGCAGTACCTGTATGGAACATAATTTTTTGATATGGGTAGTCATTCTTATTGTAAGTTGATGCTTGGTTTTTCTTTTATTTTCTTTCAAAGCCCAACCACTAGCAAAAATGTAACTAAAAAAAAATTTAATGATTTATAATTCAATACATACAAATTTGATCTAATTAGGTAAGCTTATACCTTTTGTCTTTACAAACATTATTAGTTTTCATTGGAATTATCAAATCTATGATTTTAGAGTACTAACAAAAAAAAAATTTTTTTTTTTTTTATTGATATATAATCACGATAATATTTAGATTTTACATACTTATTCATTTTCATTATATAAAACTTCTGAAACTTGTGTGTATTGCAAATTACATGTGAGATCAATTATTTCTAATAAATATATAAAAATTTATTGGTAAATATTTGTGAAATAAGATTATTATATTTTATTATATGGTAAGAAAAGAATATCATTTTTTTATATATAAAAAAATTATTATTTTTATATATAAAAAATAATAAGTTCTCTCTTCTCACTGTAAGTCTTTGATATATAATAGCACAATTATACTTTGGTTTTGAATAATCAGCATTGTCCAAGGTTTATGAGGTTGAGTATGATTTGTCAAGTTAGGATTAGGTTTTTCAATTTGTTAGGATTTTGTAATATTGTTTAGATTAGCAGGAGACCATTTCTTCTAATTTTCTATTTCTGGTAATGCTCTTGCAGCAATAAATCCAATTTTTTTATTTTTTGTAGGCCATGTCCATTCTTGAAAATTTGAAATTCCAGCAATAGTTCCTAATTTTTTTTTTTCTTTTTCTTTTCTCAAATAAATTAGATAATCATCAAAAATAGAGTTCTGCAAGTGCTGAACTCCATTCAAAACAATCATAATATTTTACTTACTATCTGGGCGATCTGGTGTAATATTGGATACATGAGTATCTGCGATATCTTTTATCGTATTTTCAATATCGTTACCTGAGTTAAGACTATATCCTAATTTGACATATCATTTAATCGCTTGTGATATCTGGATATATAATCAAACTAATGTTAAAAATTATATTTATTTTAAAACCAGATCTGAATATTATGAGTCTCTATCATTTTCTTGACAACACTTTTTTGATAAATAAAATTCTAAGGAAAATTGACCAGAACTAACCCTAACCTAGCCTAATGCAAGCTAACTTGTTAAGATTTTAATATTATCAGGAAAGTAGCTATTGGAAAAATAATAGGATCTGGAATATTATCTGTATATGGTGTGAATTAATTGAAGTTTTGGCTTCACTAGTCTTTAAAAATATCTATTTTTGTGAAACAATATTGTACTATTCTTTTCAGTGACCCAATATCAACATTAACTCCATACAATGATAATGGGGACCATTATCGAATATAATAGTTATCTATTCAGGCTTATTCTCTATTGTTTCAAATACAGTATATAGAGAAGATGCAGTAAACCATGCGTCTTGTTTGCTATCATCTGACCAATGATCATATACTTCTAAATTTAACTGATTTTTTGTTATATCTTTTGTATATACTAACACAGAATACAAACTCTATTCATGTTTTTCATAAAA